TGTTAACTTACACGGTGGATTTATCTGCAGATCATGACACGTTCGTAGCAGTTGATTGACCATCATTCCATCCTTTGGCACGAAACGATGCGGACCACTGAAAATCAAACATTTAAAGGATTTTGGTATGGGTTGGAAAAAAAAGTCTGTTGAAAATATTCAAGTAACATAATAAAAAAGGGTTTTCCATTCAATGGGATCATTTTTGAGTGATATTCATTGAAGCTTCTATGCGCAAGCAAAGTTCAATTTGTACTTACAATTGAAATTCCACATCAGTTCCGATTATATCGACGAGCGGAAATTTTATCCATAGATCATCGACTAATTTCTTATTAAGAGAATGTTGTTTTATATTATTCCATCGCATCTAGTTGCGATGACACCAAAGAATAGCAAAATATGTTGCTGAATCATGAATTGATTGATTTTATTCGTTGAAACAAACCTTTCAAATCGTTCGGCTGTTTTGTAGATTGGTAATGCTTTCATGGCTGCTTCAGGGAAAACAGCGAACTTTTTAGCGCTATCTTGACTTGTTGTGAAAAGATTTTCAGTGGGTACGCCAGCGGCGAGAGGTATCTTTTGTTGCATTCGTTTGTCTCCACCACTACCCGGTATCCGATCTCAAATTTGCAATTATGATCAGTAATGTAAAATTGAAAATAAGAATTTCTAAAAGCAATAAAATTTATAAAAAGTATGACTATAATATAGTAAGGTTAAATGATATGCTGAAAAGGTGCGACTGACTCACTGGAAGAAGTGTGAAGAATATGCATAGATGTTAACAAACGTACAATTAGAAATGAGTTGTTGGACAATGCCACCTGCATTGACATCATTCAGTGTTAACGGTATGTTCAACATTCCGGACTGTCCCTCCGGATTCGGTCGCGAAAGACCGGATACCGGCGGGAATTGAAACAAATTCGGAAACGGCGACGCTCTGAAGTGTCGTTCGCCTGTTGGCTCCTGTCAATTGATAAATCATTCATTAGAATTATTATCATGAACAGATTGCCCACTAATCGTAAGTGCATTATTGTTGAGTGCATAAAATGAATGAAGCAACAAACCACTCCATATCGAGGAGGAACACTAAGTTCAATATCCAACAGACCGGGACTTTCGTAGTACATCGGCAATCTGGCAATATCCAGAGCATATGATTCACGAATTCGAACACCAATTTGTGCTTCTTCCAATACAACATACACTTCTGCTTGACCGTATTCGACATTATTCACATAAACAAGTACTCCTCAAATTCAACTCATCACATTCAATTTATTCAACAAGTTATTAAATTCAATCAAATTTCAACTTCTTCCTTAGTGCCTACGATAGTGACCTTATCGTAATTGCTTTGCAATCATGCTCTGATTGGTTTGTTGCTAACGAGCGATGTTTTGTTGATCGCTGTTCCAAGTTATCCTTTGGAGAGTGGCCATTAATTTCAAAAGTATTTCTGTGCCCACAAACATAATCTAGCGGCCGTATTACACGAACGAAATATTAGTGCATTTATGAAAGTTCGAAAATCTGTTAGATCAAACACTTCGCAGTTTTCCGTTGCAATCTGATGGGGTCCCTTTTGGCAGCTTGAAATTTCTGTAGATGACGAAAAACCGGAGCAATAATCAAAACGAAGAATTCACTCAGAATCTGACCGAATTTCGGTCGGCCACCAACCCACTGTAAAACCTTATTTCATTTTTATTAAAAAACCTTCCTTTCAGTTTGGTCAATTGTAATCTGAATTTTTTATAGAGAACTGGAGTGAGTGCTCGAATTCAGCATTTATATTACTCTATGTTCACAGATGAATTAACACTCAATACTATTGTCATCAAAACCTTTGAATTTTTGCAATTTCATGTTGTCGAAATATCTGATAATATTTCCAACAATAACACTCGTCCGATATCTGAATCGTCTCGTATCTTTCCTCGCCACCACCACTACTCGATCCGTCCCGGTCGCCTCGAGCGCTATTCCAGTTACAACCGTCGCGTTTGTTGGCTGTACCAAATCAGCCTGTGCTATGTATCGTCCCAATAAACCTGAATTTCATCCGAATTCGATTTCGTCAGTTTTCTTCAGCACTTTGACGAATATCAATACTTTGCACCTCATTTATGATTCTATGTCCCAGTGCTTTCATAACAGAGGACCTCATGTCAGCTATACGAACAAGGTAGCGTCTCTGTTATCGACGACAGCCCTCATATTTGATCATTATAACCAGTCATGATATTTCGAACAGCAAAATGGTATTTTGGTAACAAATATGATAATCAACAGCAAAATGATATATCGCTTATATGGTTGAGACCCCAGAGATTAAGTACTGAACCATGAAATTTTATTTGTAAAAAAAGACTGCTACACCAAACCAACTTTCAGCAATTCATGCAAATTTGGCTAATTGCAATCAAATTCTTTGGTTATTTTTGGAGTGATTTTCGCCAACTTGACGATTTTAATGAGCAGTGATTTTTATAGAATGAACATTTCGGAACCGTACCGAAATCCACCCTTCTATTTGGGTATCGTTCGAGTCGAATTTGAATTCGCACTTCGGGATTCGTTAACGTTTTAGGAATATGAAGTAAGGTGAATACGCCAGGCTCGTTGAACACAAACTTTTGATTGTCCAACGTTGTGAATGAACCTGCTCCTTGTACATAGCCTATAATAGATATGTAGCTATGTGTATCTCATCACGGAATTAATATTGCGATAGTTGTTGCACAATTACGTCAATCAACAATATCTCTTACATAACGGATTCGTAAGCACAATTGCTTTGTGATCTATCAGTAGATTTTACAGTTGATGAATTTTCATGGCATTCGGCACTGACTGTCAAGGAACAAAATCACAACATGTCAAATTCGCTCGATTCCACTGCTGGATCTGTGTAAGAAAGTTGCTACTATTTTAATCGCGGAAATTTGCTGATATATTTGAACCTAGGTTGAACCTCAGTCTCTCTGTAAGACTAAAACTGAGTCTGAGATTGATCTCTGCCTGCAATCCCTTTGCCTCAAGCTTCTCGCTCGTAAGCTCAACTGCTAAATCAGACAAATTTTAGAACTATTGTATTTAGACTGGGAACTACATATATCTAGGGTAGTTCCACTGAAAGAAGGCTCATGTTGGTGAAAGATTCTTCCTTCCCATCAAAGACCCGATAATAGACTAATACTTTTTGCGGAATAAAGCCTCACACTTTGGAGCATATTAAAAGATTAGGGAATTGTAAGGTTGTAATAGCGAGATTGTGAAATTCCAGTCGGAAAAGAAGTTTTTTTTTCATGTTTTCCCTAAACGAAGCACATCGTCTTTCACTGTTTTCCTTGTAGACACTCAGCGAACCGTTTGCCAACGCTTATGTGTCAAATGAGAAGTTCAATTTCTGAAATGCACTAATAGCTGTGCGAATTCCAACACAACGACAGTTTGACCCACGCAGAAAGGAAGGGAAAAAGGTCACAGCTGTTACTGGTATGCCGGACAATAAAGAATCTGTGCGCTCTGAAGTAATCGAAACTCGCTTGGCTCACTCTTAGATAGATGTGTTTTATTCTGGCAACAACTTCCATGCTTAAGTTGGTAAANTTGGTCTGTGGTATTTTACGATCATCTAAACGCGCACGATCAAAATGCCTGTGTTAACACATGCAAGTGCAGTGTTCAATAGCCACCCATCGCCATCGTTTGTCTAAGAGTGATTTTTTAGGGCAGAATTAAGTGCCCGAAAACTGCTCGGCTTCAAAATTTCATAGAATGATAACCCGTTGCTGGCGGTTCATACTGCTGGCAACCACTCGTTGGACGACGCCAATAAAACAGTTGGCATCGGTACTTTGCGTACTTACAACAGAGGTGATACGGCATATAGTCATGATAGAACGCAGAGAAACTGGGAACCTGAAACCATCATCATAATTCAGTCAATTCATTGTGAAGCGAATCATACTACTGACTGAAATATGGGTAGTTAAAGCATTGAAATGAAACGCTACAGGGAAAAGATTTGAAAATTACTTAAAATATCATTGAACAGGTCAAAAAGGAAGAGAAAATTTCAGCAACCTCATATTGTCCCATGTATGGGAAAGTACCAAATTCGTATGCTCTTGTTGGATATCCGGGATTATATGGGTATTGCTCGATTGTTTTAACAACAGGTTGATACGTTGACTGCATTAATTTACCTTCGCCATCATAACAACACACTTGACCATAATGCGTTTCAAATGGACTGTGATAATAAGAAGTTATTTTGGCTTTATAGTTTCCGAGAAAGCATTGACTCCATAAAATCGTAAGAAAGAGTTCATTAAAAAAGTGAAGATGCGAGCAATTGGAATGAAAACTGCGAAAAATTAAGGCAAATATTACGCAGTGTTATGGTTATTTAGTGTATTGAATCGATTCGCTTCACCGGCGTAATAGGACGTATAAACATTTTGTGCAGACATATAACAATTCTGTGCACCAACACTGGTCGTGCATGAGATATCACGGAACACCTTAAAATCATTGAGTTGAATATCAGTAGATTTCTCCTAATTTTTCAACATGTCAGATTGCTCAAAACACAGAACGAGATAGGTTACAGCAGCTCAGTTGATCATTGGTGGCTGGCTTACTTTACTTTGAAGCAAGAGAACCAGGGTTATGAAATCAACAATCGCAGTATATTAATTCATTTGCATGAATGATGCTCTTTCTGTCATTAAATGAAT